GAGTGAGAGAGGGTTTGACAGTCTTTGTCCGTGCAAAAGATTATAATTTAAAGGTGATAGTGGATTGATTTTGGTTCTGTGGTTTTTTGATGTTGAGGGTTTTCCACGTTAAATCTTGTGTGATTTTATTTGTTGCGTTTGGTGATTTTTTTGGGTTTTTGCGAGATCTAAACATCCCAACAAGTGGTATCAGAGCGGGGTTCGACGGTTCATGGAGATTCGAGATTTGCAACGACATTAGTGGCAACGGAACTGTAGTAACAGCACTGTTCACCGCGGTACTGTAGCAACGGAACTATTCACGGTGACGCACTGTTCAAGATACTGAAGCAGCAGTACTGGAGCGGTGACAGATCCGACGGTTGAGGTTGATTTGTCTTTTGATCGAGGATTTGGAGGCGGATTTCGGTGATCCAGGAGTCGTTTCTAAGGTTTTTCGACGTGCTGAGTTTGTTTTTAACGTTGGTTTTATCAAATTCAATCTCTACAGGAACTGATTTGAATTTTGATCGTGGTTAGAGGATGATGACTTCTTCGGGTCCGAAGTTTGATGTTCCGCTATTCAATGGCAAGATAAATTTTATAGTATGACAGTGCACGTTTTAAGATATTCTTGTGTAGCAGGGTGTTGATCAAGCTTTAAAGGAGAAGAAACCTGAAGGATTGAAGGATGCTGAATGGAGATCCATGCAAAAGAGGGCGGTTAGCACAATTCGTTTGGCACTCGCCCCCGAGATCAAGTACAATGTTATGCAAGAGACCACACCAAGGGGGCTGTGGAAAAGGCTCGAGGGGATTTATGCATCGAAGTCGATGACCAACCGATTGTGTTTGAGGATGGAGCTTTATTCGTTAAAGATGGAAGAAGATACTACAATTCAATACCACATCAATGTCTTTAATCAGCTAGTTTGCCAACTTATAAATATTGATGAGGAGATTAAAGAAGAAGAGTAGATGCTACTCCTATTGTCTTCCTTGTCGAAGTCGTACAAACCGTTAGTTCAGACGATAATTACAGGGAACCAGACTTTGAAGTTCTACGATGTGACAGCACTCCTACGTGAGAATGAAAGAATGATGGGAAAGGAGAGCACATCTAATAGTGGTGAGAGTGCACTAGCTTTTGAAGGTTCTAATCGAGGGAGGAGTAGATGTGACAGTTATCAAGGAAGGTTAAAATCTCGGGCCCGAGACGACAGCGAAAAGGAGTGCTATTATTGCGGAGAGAATGGTAACATTCAGTTTAGATGTTCCCAGATGTATGATGATTTGAAGAGTATTAGACAGATGAAGCTTTAAGAAAATGGGAAGAAGACGGACTCCTTAGTGGTTGTGTGTGATGAAGATGTGGTTTTATTGATACAGAGTGCAAGTACTGATGCGAGTAACACTTGGGTGTTAGATTCTGCAGCCTCTATGCACGTTTGCAACGACAGAAATTATTTTAACACATTGAAGACAGATGAAGAATTTGACGACGTGATTGTTGGAAACAACAAGAAGATGAAGGTTGAAGGTGTTGAAAGTGTTTGCCTCAAGCTTCACACTGGGAAGGTCGAACTTTTTCATCATGTGAGATATGTGTCGACATGTGGTGCTAATTTAATTTCGTTGGGTGAGATGGCATCACGTGGGTACCAGTATGTGGGTGAAGAGGAGTGGTGCAATGTGTATAGAGGGCGATTTGATTTTGCGAGGGAGAAAGAATAGCAATTATATTTGCTATTTAGATGGGTGATCCGTTAATGGTGCAGATTGCTCTTCTCAGACTCTTGTCCACAAGGGAGAGGTGAAGAACAAGAAAAAGAGAGTGAGTTTTTCTGAAGTTGAATTCACCTCCTTGGCGCTTATGTCTCTATCATCTTCCTCTTCAATATCCATATCGTATATGGGTATGTAGAGCTGATGCGTCCTCACTGTGACTAACAACTCAGTTTCGGGAGGCTGCGCAAGTGATACCGTTAGTGCTGCCAGTGCATCTGCATAAGCGTTCTGGAGACGAGGGATGTATTCAATAATTCTCCACGAAACAAAATATTAACATGTCCAAACAAAGGAAAGGTAGAAGTACTAGAAAAATGAGCATGGTTAACTTATAATAGGAGACAAATGTGTTGGGTATCTACTCAAACTCTAAGTTAGGATAGAGTTTTTAATTCTTTGTATAACTTCATGAGAATTAGATAAAGTTAGGGATCTATCATGATTAGGAGTTTGGATTCCATCATAATTGGGAGTTTGAATCTTATTCTAATTAGGAAGTTAGGCTAGAGATAGGGTTTTGGTTTCTCTATATATATCCTTCTATTGTTAGAAGAAGAAGGAGAAGAAGAAGAAGTGTAGAGAGAAAGAGTGAGAGAGAGTTTGACAATCTTTGTCCGTGCAAAAGATTGTAATTTGAAGGTGATAGTTGATTGATTTTGATCTCGTGGTTTTTCCCTGTTGTGGGTTTTCCACGTTAAATCTTGTGTGATTTTATTTGCTGCGTTTGGTGATTTTTTTTAGGGTTTTTGCAAGATCTAAAAATCTCAACAGCTCATCCATGCATACATCCATGCATACATACATGCTCAATTTTTCATAACCTCCCAATTAATTGCTATTAATTTTCAAATAACCACTCATTCATAACACTCCTCCACTAACTCATGGTACACTAACGTAACTTTACGTGCACTAATGATAAAAAGATGTTACAACTATTCCTCTCCTACCAAATAACTATAAATAACAATAAAATTTTATCAAATTTCTCTGATCAACATTCCAATTCGTAATTAAAATTTAGATTGAGAAGAAAAGAGCCAAATCTAGCTCTCTTTGCTACTTGCATCTTGGGCATTCTCGAGCTCACTTTCTCTACAATCTTTATAATTTTCATGTTCTTTTCATGATCAACATTGCTACAGACTGAGATCTAAGGTGTTCAATTATTTTTTGCCCCTTTTTTTGGAGATGATGTAAAAATAAATGATTCGTTTAATAAATAATAATTAAAGTTTCTATACATTTTCGCATTTTATTTTGTTTTCAAACTATAATCATGCGATATTTTATTAACTATGAGCTTTTTACTGATTCTTTAACTGATTATGTGCATTGAATTAAAGGAGCAAAAAGAAACTCCTATCTTAATTATGTAGCTTATCAGTTTGAGACTAAAATTATTCTATATTAGTAAATTAATTATAATTAATTTAATAATTTAAGTAATAACTAAGTCAATTTAATATAATTACGACATATTCATATAAGTTTCATTGAAAATGTTGGTGGAATAAAATTGAATGATGAAAAGAAAAATAAAAAATAAAAGAGTATATTGACAATTTTACAAGGTCGCAAATCTATTCATCTTTTTTATCTTTGTTATAATTTTTTATTAGAAGAATTTGATTTGTTGTTTAATCTTTGAAACTAAATGTTGATTTGATTGAGGAAGAATGATTTGATCTCTTGCATTGGCGATATATTTTAGCTTCTTAGTTCTTATATCATAACATTTTTATTGAAATTCATGAAACTAAAAGTAGTTATTCGTTCAGTGAAATTATGCAATAAACTAATTAATTATAAATCTTGAGTCAATAAACTAGCATTTAAAAAACAAATTAGAATAAGTTATTTGCTAAGTAAGAAATTTTTAAACTTGAGTTATTAGGTTTATTAAAAAAAATTCTCTTCTATGTTAATGTTGTTTATTGCAATCCATTAGACTATTGTGAATGTCGATCTAGATCAATAACTAGTTAATGAGAGGAGAGATATAAGCCTATTTTTTTACATATATCTACTCATATCATAAGTTTTTGGGCACACTAGCAAGTCAAGAATACTTTCATTACTAAATTGGCTGTTAGTTTAGTAAAATTATGTGAATAATGAATTAATAATAATATTCGAAACCTTAAAGTATCACCTCAAAAGGCTAATGAATGGCATGGCCATGAGAGGAGAAGAATTAGCCCATACATCTCTTTGAATTTATCAAAACAAGTTATCAACTAACTAAGATTTCTTAACCCATGTTATAAGTTTCTTTTTTACCAATGTTGTTTCTTGCAAACAATTAAATCATAGCTCAACTTCAATTTAGATCAAGAAGTTTCTTTTTTACCAATGTTGTTTCTTGCAAACAATTAAATCATAGCTCAACTTCAATTTAGATCAAGAACAAGGTAATGAAGAAATCATAGCTCAACTTCAATTTAGATCAAGAACAAGGTAATGAAGGAGAAATATATATATTAAGGATACCAATTTTTTCCATTAAAATTTCTAAATAGAGTTAATTTTTTAGGGAAAAGATCAAATTACCCTTGGCTGAAATTAGCCTCCTCCCACAGTAGCAATGTAGGTAAAAATGTAAATAAAACAATCAATTAGGGTAAAACAAAGCCATAATTGACATGTGAGTAGCACATGCGAATATTTAGACATTCAAGTAACATGATATACTAATTTGCCATGTTTAAACAAAGTTGGGTATGTGAGTGCAAACTTTTTACAATTTGGGGTGTATAAGATTAAGGAAGATGAAAATATAAGGTATTTAAGTGCTTTTTTAGCCTTTTAGAAAACCCCTTAAATTTGGGCATTCCCCCCCAAAAAAAAATAAAAAATAAAAAAAAACCCAAGAGGTTTGGCGATTTCAATCCCCTTAAATTTTCAACAATTTTCACAAAATCCTTCTTAATAGCATTAATCCTTACTTTGTATTCTTTCACATATGAGTAAAATTATGCAGAATGATATTTTTGCCAATGACAATTGTGTTTCACGCTTTTAGAGTTTGAATATGGTTTTCTAAGAACCATTTTAAAAATTTAAGGGCTTTATCCTGAGACATTTGTAAAATTTACCCTAAATAGAATGTATAAATTTTATGATTGGAAAAACTAATTTGATATCTAATAAAGTGTTAATGCAAATCAAACTAATTTAAAATGCTATTATATAATAAAATTATACATTAGATACATAAAATTATCATTGCAATGCGTGCTTATAGCCTACGTATAAACATGAAAATGGTCACACATGTGTTGCACGTGCACCATACTAGTTATTAGAAAACAACCAAACAGCCCCAAAAGGTGAACTTAGAAAAGAATGAACTTGCTTCTTCACTACAGCAGAATGCCACTAATGCACTATACACAACAAAAGAAAAATACATGGCTCCGCTAGATTGAGTTTTGCCACATCTAAAACCAATTCTAAAACAAAAAATCCTTTTCGTTTCAGAGAACAAAAAACCTCTTTTAATGGATCTCAGAACTTCGAAGAGATTGATTTACTTGATCTCATCACAATGAACGGTCGACAAGAAAATCATGGGCAAAATCTGGGAATGCAGACATTTATATACATCAGAGGCATGTGCATCTGTCACAAGGTTTCTGCAAATAAAGGACACTTATTAGGCCTGAGAAATATTCTGATAAAAACAAAAAGCTAGATATATGGAGCTTATATAATTCGCAGAGAACGAATTAAAAACACAACTGTAAATTATTTGAATTTCTAAAAAATGACTTGTCAAACATAGGATAAACGCCAAGACCAAGTTGCAAATATCACGACTTTTTCCCCTCATCTACTAACCTTCATACTAAATTATATCTGATATAATTCTTCCATCTATTCAAATATTAAGCAAATAAATTCATCTCTGGAAATTAGCATCATTGCTAAATAGTGATTGCCGTTGATGATAACCTTCAGTGCACTTAATAACCTTAGATCTGTTCCGAATAGCTTCCCCAATTAGAAACAAACATCAAAGGTAGATTGCATATTTAGAATTTCATTTTCCATATTGAATGAGCTTTTAACAGCTACCTTGTAGACCTATTTCTCACAGATCATCCACCATGAAATTTCTTAATTCATTCTTTATCATTCACATTTCAAGCAAGGATTATTATGGATTGTCAAGAGTAAATTATATCCCTCAACCGTCAACACAACTTTGTAGTTTCGGTGTAGTGGCAGAGACTTTAAGATGGTATCAGAGCAGCCTAGGTTCTAATCTCACATGCCATGAATTTCTAACAAGATACATAACATCTATACAAGTACCTAGTTGTTATGGAAATTGTAAGCTGTCAATTAAAAAAAATCTAATGCAAGCAATACAAAGTCATGAAAACTTGCGCAATCAGTATTGTCTGAAATGAATGGAAAATTTCACATGGAACAAAAACAGGCAAGTTACCTTTCGATTTCGTTGCTCGAATACCCGACTCAGACACCTGTGACGTTGGATGGATATTCTTTAAAGATATGGGGGTCAGAGGAGGCGAAGCAACATCTTCAGACAAGTCAGTGTTACTGGGATCCTTCAAAAATTTAGCAACCGGCGACAATGGCATTCTTCTGGAGGGTATAGAGAAACTGCGATGTACAGCTGCAGGTGGTGTTGGTAAGGGCGATGCTGTATGTGATACAAGTGGAGATACATTGGTCTTCTTGTTTAGCTCTTGTTCTCTATAAACCAAAGGTGCTGAATGACCAATCAAGCTTGTAGGCCTAGTTTGTCTTGTTGAACCAGTTGGTGGTCTGGGAAGCTCATGAAGTTCACTGATCGTTGGTGATTTCATACGAGGAGGTGAGATCTTAGGCGATCTTTTTGGAGAGAGAGATGGCTGACGAGTTTGCACACGTGATGGAGACATAGAAGCTGGATTTGACCAATGTCTACTTGTTATTGGACCAGAGAAAGCATTTCGTTTAATTTTTTTGGGGTCCGAACCTGCGTGTGGACGAGTTGGCGGTTCCTCCCTCAGAGGAGGCGGCATCTTGATGGGACTACTATAAATATTGCTCTGTTTTAGTACCGTTGTATGTGCTTTTGGGAACTTTGTGGGGTTTAACATTTCAACATCTCTAGAATTTTGAAGGAATTTATTTGACTCCAAGGGAGATGAATACCATAATTGTGCAGGTGTTTGAAACTTGTTTCCAGGTCTAGATGCATAATTTGGTCTAATTGAGCCTGTGGAAACTGACTGCTTAGCATCTAATGGTGTGGGTAGAACATAAGTATGAAACTTCCTTGTTGACGATGGTCGCAGTTCTTTTATCTTTTCTGATGGATCAGGCCTTTTATCAGGAAAAATGGGTGCCGATATGCTGCCAGCATTACCTCTCTTGTAAAAATTGGGCCACTCTGTGGAGCTTCTCTCTATATTTTCCTGCATTAGCTAATGTCAAATATCTCCAAACACCAACAATCAAAAATCTAGAAGTAAATGACATAAGGTGTTTTCTTTGTTATTTAATAAACTTCCATTGTGGCATGTACCATCAAACAACAAGAGACAATTATGACAAGATTTCATAAGATGATGATCATGACATAATGTCATAGATACATGGTGACTAAGTGAGCGGAAGCAGAGACTGAAATTAAGACGAAACAAAATGACATTCAGAAGCAAGGCAATCTTCCAAGAGGCATGCATCATTAATTGTTGTTCTACTATATCCTCCACCATATGTGATTTATCCTAAGATATATTAGCCCATCTACCAAAATATAAAGCATAAGCACACACCTTGAAACAGTACATAGACACGTGTATACGCACATTTAATTTGAAGAGCTGAACAACAGTATTACGGAACATTTCAAGTTGGAAATTTTAAATCAAATATAAATGTATATGCCTTAAATTTATAAGTTTTTATGTGTACAACTGCTTGTATGTAAACATTTGTCTGTAAGGTATGTATGCATGTATCTAAATACATCTACATCTACACATAGGCATGCATGCATGTGAGTGTGTTTGTATGTATGTGAACAAGGAATTGATCAAATGTGGTACTTTTCATCTTAACTATCCAATCTTCAGCTACCATGTAATCTTTAGAAAAAATTTAAGAGAGCTTGTAATATAGTGTTTATTGGCACTGATTTTCCCCCCTCCTTTTTACTTTTGTAGTCTTCCTGATACAACCTATATTCAAACAACTCAATGTGATTATTCAGTGGTACCGCTTGATCTTACAAAACTAGAAGTGCATTTTATGAGTACTTTTGCATGCATTTGCATCTGCTATGCTGTTCATATCCGTGCATCCACCTATGTGCATGTTCATTCCTTCATTCATTCATGCATTCATTCATGAGCTCAGTTCATAGCGATTCACAAGGGAAAGTACCCTTCTATGAATGGGGTCAACATGACAACTAGTTCATCTTCAAACGTCGAAAGATGGCACATAAATAAAATCGTCAAATTGGCAAAAGACAAACATGCATATGAAAACTACATCATCTAAATGTAAGGATAAGGCAACTACCAATCAACAGAGAAAAGAGAGTATAACTGATTATTGGAATGCATGGTGAGTTTACCTTTGCAGGTTCTGTTGTTGATGTTCGAGTCACTGACTCCTCTACTTGATCTAACTGCAAATTAAAAACAACCGCCAATAAAACAGGGTGCAGTATAACCGATGAAAAGTATAAAGTAATCTTTATAGCCCAAGAATTAGAACAAGCATAAACTTTTTTGACCCATTATAAGTTGAAAGACTATTGCCATCATAGTGAATGTATCTGTGCCAAATGCATGAGCGCATTCACTGGCGTAAACTTTTTTGACCCACTACAAATTGAAAGAATATTTCCATCAAAGTGAATGTATATGGGCCAAATGCATGAGTGCATTCACTGGCGTAAACAAACAAGATCCTCTTTTCTACTATGTGGTGAATTTTGATAAGAAATATGTATTCATATAATTACAGCATCTGTCATGAACTAATTTCCATGAAAAACTACACATATTGTGAGTATTTATAGAACACTTCCAGGGGATAAAAGATGCTTCAGAACAGATCCTCTTTTCTAGTACATGACGAATTTGCTACTAATCATATACTCATATATTTCACAGGAAAATCTGTCATGAAATGACCTCCCATGAAAACTTACATCTATGGTGAGTGTAGATAGGAGGGAACTTCCTGGAAATAAAAAATGCTCCAAATTAACTATTTAGCACCAAGGAAACTAATAGGGATGAGCGTTTTTCTCCCAAACATATGTAAGAAACTAATATAGACTAAAGAAAAAGGAAAATAAGTATACACATCGTTATGACTAGCAGGAAAATCTGAACCAGCAAAAATTTCCTGACCTCCATGGAATTTGTAGATGAAGAAAGGGAATCTTGGTCTCTGTCATTTTGTCCATAGTCAAAACTCAGTTCCCCATCCTCATTTTCGTCATAACTATAATAATCACCATCATCTTCTGTATCATCATCTTCAAGTCCACTGAACTGATAATCAATATGCTCATGTTCAGCAACTATTTTGACATGTGGTTCAACATCTTCCAGATACTTGAGTCCTTTCCTGAAAAAATTTAACTACACCCCAAAAAGGAAAAGAAAGAAAGGCACTACATTAGTTTAACCTTTCGTTAAAAAACACGGACTGTTGGCTTTTGAGTAGCAGAAAAAAACCTGTGCAGCATGGTGCCTTGCTGCCTGCGTAAGAAGACTTCTGGATTGACCTTGTTTCAATGACTTCAAGCGGAAGACAAATTGATTTGCCTCCTCTTCATAATCCTCATGTGCCTCTTGCAACTGTTGAGATGAGAATGATTCACCTTTGACATGTTTCAGTCTCCCCTTTTGTCTGTATGATGCTAACATGGTTTTGTATAAATCTCTGAAAATAAGAGACAAACTTGAGAGGGGAATCACTGACAAGACCAAACAAAAAAGATGATAATAGTAGCTGCATACCTTTTCTCATCACATTGCTGCTTCATCTCCTGCACAGGCACACACACTCGCATCAGAAAAGTTGCATTTCATAATTTCTATTAAAAAAAATCTTATTTATGTTCTAGCCTAGATACAGGAAAATCAAATATCTGTCATAATTTTTTTAAGCTATTAGTTACAAACGCCATAGCCTCGTTACAGAGAACGTAAAATGTAGCCTATGAATCGTATTCTAGTAGGGATCAAAATGATTTTTAACTTGTGAAAGCAGACAAAACATAGAAGAGAAGAGCCACATTAAAATAGGTGTACTAAAAGTAATCTATCTAAGCAGTATATAGTCGAAATATATTCCACATGCAGAAAGCTTAAACACCAGCCATCAAACCTTGCCCTAACAATTAGGATAAGCACAAACGAGATCCTAAAAATGAAGAACATGTTTTAAAAATAACGTCTTCTCTATTGTTGGAAATTGCATGTTGGCCTTTCAAACAACTATAAGAACAACTTAAAATAAGGCAATGATGATGAAGCATAGCTTTCAAGAGCAATAGCTTGTGGGTTAGATGGATTCATGGTAAAGGAATGTCACACATGGAGTTTTCCGTGTAAACAATATTGGTCATGGATGTTGCAAAATATTTTGAACCTAAGGCAGAAGGCTAACAGATTGGTTACAAATCTTCATGGAGATATTCAATGGATTGGGCCTGCTCCATCTTTTAGCTCAAGAGGTGCTTATAACCTTTGATTCCAACCAGACAGAAAATGCCACAAGGAAGGGTTGTATGAAGTGATATGAATCTACCTAGATATTCCTTTGTTTTTTGGTTGGCTTGCCAAATTTTTGGTTGGCTTGCCAAGAGTGAATTATGACCAAGATTTCCTCGAGAAGAAGAGGAATTGATATCAATTCCTTATGTCCTTTGTGTGAAGGAGAAGATGAGACTAAAGAACACTTATTTTTCAGTGTTCATTTAGTAGAGAAGTTCGGATTGTGTTTTGAAATGTGTTCAAGATAACGAGGCTCCCTCGCAGTGGAATGTATTTATACCTTGGCAACCAAAAAAAAGGAGTCGCCGAGGTGTCATGCAAAGCTGAAGAGAGCAGTGCTAGCCGCTTGTATCTATGCTATATAGCAAAGTGAAATGGGCTGATTTTTTAGAAATTTAAAGCCTAATATGAATGAAGATGTCAAGCAGATTATTTTCTTCCTTAAGATCCAACCGGGTAGGGTATAGGTTATGATTGATACTATGCAGAATAGACATCGTTGTGCAAATTTTGGCATCCAACCGGAGTTTGTTAACTGGGATAAGAAGAAGCATGAGGAGGTATTTTGCTTTTTGTTTTCTACTTTTGCAAATTGTATATAAAAAATGGGTCCTTTGTTTGTTCTCTCTTTGTGGAGAAGGAGTTTTGTTTGGTTAATAGCTTCATATTTAGCTCTAACTAGAGTGATAGTAGAGTCTGGAGATATGAGTTTGTAATAAACTTCTTTACTTTAGTTATGAATAAAGCTCACCTTTCATATAGGGGGAAAACATTTCATATTCTACTTGCCGTAGTTTATGCAATAAACATACTGAAGTACAATTTAAACAAATTTCAAAAATCATAAAAACAAATTCCATGACAATCTAGTATTATCCTCCTGTTAAGAAGAAACTTGAAAAACAAACCTCCACAGTCTGTAGCTCCTTAAGAAGAGACTCTGATGGGGTTGTGATTGTCTGGACGATATGTGCACGCTGATAAGAAGAAAATATGAAGCATCAGAATTATTCAGAATTATGAATACATGTGGTTTTCTCTAACTATAATCTTGGTCTTACATAGCTATCAACAAGTTTCTGAAGTTCAAACTGCACTTTCCCCAGCATCAGGAGAACCCTACCTGCATGTAAAGAACAAGAACGTAATAATCAATGCATGAAGGAATTCAACGTATATGTGTGTGTGCACACAAAGAAGTGCACCTAGGGTATCTTAGGTAACTGTAGCTGATTCATGATGTGTTACAGTGTTACTTAATATTAACATTGCTGATAATCAATAATATGGGGCTAGATATTTTAATTTTAACACGTGCAACAAGAAGACCAAAGCTTGATGTACTTGCCGCTATCTTCATCTTCATTCAATGCAGTTTTTTCAAGCAAGCATGTCCCCATTTCATCCAGAGCTTCTGAGAATTCTGCAAGATTACATTGCATAAAAACATCTGTCAGGATTATAGCAAGGCAGATAATGAATGTTTGAATAGTAATATATGAGAGAAATTTACATAGATGCAAGGGACATAATATAACCACCACTAAGGTTGATACAAATTAAGACATATCATATAATTTATGATAAAAGGATGTTAGTTTAAAAAGAAATATAGATTGATTTATCTTGCAAGAAATGCACAGAGAAGAAATAATCCTTCCAAAACAAAGTTCCACTTCCTTGAAAGTCGCTCATTCTCAAGTCCAGAGGGTACAATAATTAAGACCATGAACCAGTGAATAAATATGAAAGGGAAAACCCTAGTCAATTTCTTGATCAGTTTTGTCCATAAGACATTCATAATAAGTTGGAAACCACTTCCAGGTCAAAAAATTATCAAACAAGAATAAAAGTAGCTGAGTCAATCAATAATTATGATGAAATTCGCCATCATCAATAACAAATGGTTTAAACACAAGATATTCATCGCACAGACGTTGAATACGAAGGAAATCTACAGTCATCAACGAAAGCCACCAATCTTCCTAGCAAATGCAACTTACTCAGTGGACTGAGGACTAGCACATGAGTAGAAATCTATACCATGTGGGCCTTGGCGATATGAAAATAATGCTTGAGAATATCTTTAAATGAATATGTAACAAGCAATTAAAATCCTATGACAACCTCTCACATTAAGTTGTTCCTCAAATAGACCAAAGATTAGCCCTAGACAATTTACTGACTACTGAAGAACATGTTTTTACTCTGCACAATGAGCTTAGACAGCTATCAAATGGCTTTTGCTTTCTTTCTTTCTTTCTTTTTCCCCCTTCTAGAAACTGCTCACTGCTAGCGAGGGAATTTAGCAGTTTATATGGTACCATCAACCTGTATTTGCCATGTCAGATAGAATTCTATAGGATGCAATTTTGATATTAATTTTCCAAGGTTCCATAAATTTTGGCAAATCTCCATATCCAGACTTTATAGAAAAGTTCATGGCTAGTTTTCTTCCCTTGCTGGATCTGGAATTCTGATGTTGTTATCACCATCCTATTAATTTAATCAACAAGATGTGTGGATATATACGATGCTACAAATCTTACTTCAGTCAATCCTCATTCTAGACTTCTATTCCGGCAAAAGATTTTCACAGTTATGCAAAACAGTGAAAATTTTGCATGTCAGGCAACTAAGGTTGTACTTCATGCAAAATGCATTCTTCCAAATTATCCTTCTCCAATCCTAGAAGCCAGTTCAGCATACAAGGTAATGAGAAATCTTAGATTTGTAGGTCAGTAGTCACCATTTTACACATCAACTCAAAACAAACAAAAAACTGTCTTGCAAGTAACCACTTAAAACTTTTGGTCTCGGAGTTCACAATAAGTAAGAGGACCAGCTTAAATTTGTACCAAAGAGAGAAAAACTTATACATGAAACTTGCAGGATAAATAGAAACACTAAATCTAATACCCAATGCATGCTAGCAACAGAAAACAACTGTCTGAAAAGTATAAGAGCAAAATGCTTGCTTTTTTTTTTTATGTGCGAGTGTTGACTGTGTGTGCGTGCATGAGCACTTGCTAATTTGTTGAGAAGAAAATTGTGGATGATAAAAGGATAATTGTGTCAAGTAGAAACCTTTGTATAAGGTATATAGCAACAAAATGGAAAGCCCCTCAAAGATTAATAACAATAAAAAGTTTACCATATGCACTATTTGCTGTGGCAGCTGCAGCAGAAATTAAGCTATCATAGCAGCTTCTCATATCTAGCATGTCCTGAGAATTAAATTAATCAAATTTCAAATTCAGCATATGGGGAGGATAGAGCAATATTTTGTTCCATACCAATGCAAATTTCTGTCTTTAAAACCCTATAGGAAGCATATAAGTTATCATATAAGGAAAAATAATATTATCTACAAATCCTAAAGTATCACTAAACACATAAGTGGTCTTGCACTCTTCCATTGGTATTTTTCAGATAACGTGTCTTTCTCGTACACTCGCTAATGAACTTTGAAACACTGCCCTAGACTACATAAAGAACTATCAAGTTATGGTACACATTAATTATGTAAACATGATAAAATTGTTAGAAATTGAATCAAGTGTCTGAATAAAAACTTTTATTTATTTGTTATGTCGACGATGATAGTGTCCCACCAGAAAATTTTTTTCTGGCTCCATCCATGTCTCAGACATGAATCATCAGTGAAATTTTAGGATACACTAAATTCAGCAATTGAAATTTATGGCCCAAGTAATGGAGTGTCCAAGTTTAACATTCAACTAAGTGCATTATTTGGGTAAGTCTCCTTCTCTGAAGTATTGGATGATTCATAAACATATGCATAACACATGACCATGCGACAATGAGTGCCATATTGTCAAGTATCCACTGAGTATTGGACATGAGTATTTCTCCTTTTCCAAACTATGATGTTTTATGACGTGTACAGACTCCTTTTAGGGAGGCATGATCATGACAGCATCAAACCCTCTCTCAAATATTAGCAAGGAAGACTAACTCGTAAACTCAAAGTATGTAAAGTGGTTGAACATATTACTTATTAGAGATGACAATGAAATGTTCTTGCACATCGCATACATCACTTCTGAAACATGAAAGTGGTGGAATATTAACGGAACAAGTTTCCCGACTTCAATCCAAAACTTAAAGTGCGGAAATTTGGAGGTGAAATAGAGATCAAAGATCCATCTTGAGTTTTATCTTTATTTCATAAGGATTTGATTTATCCGCTTACCTGGTTGTTTTAGTTATACCCTCTCATCAGACTGACATTTCATAATGGGGTGTCTTTTACGTTTGATGTTTATCTTGATTTTTGTATCTGCATAAGCTTCAGTTAGAATTATTAGATATTATGTGTGTCTCAATTTGGAAAATAGTTGTTGTGATCCATGAAAATAAAAATTTTGTAGGACGATTGAAAACTTAATGACTGAGTAATTGACAGCAAACAGCGAATGAAAGTGTGGTTATGTATCTTCTTGTCGAACCCAAAAAACAGTCTTTATTAGATAATTTTCCCGCCTAGTTTTGATGGAATGTTCTTACAAAGAAGTTCTACAGTAGAATTTGTGTGAGACAGAAGAAGCCGTTTTCATTATGGGACAAATTTTCTAAACCAACCTATTTGGACTTTTATTCCCAAAAAACGACCCCATTCAAAAATAATTGCAAAAACCGACCTGGTTTCAGCCTCAGTGCTGAAACCAGGTCGGTTTTTGAAAAAAACTCTCCGAAACTTCACGGGAGTTGAACTCCCGTGAAGTTTCGTAGTTCAAAAAACTTCACGGGAGTTCAACTCCCGTGAAGTTTCGGAGAGTTTTTTTCAAAAACCGACCTGGTTTCAGCGCTGAGGCTGAAACCAGGTCGGTTTCTCTAAATAAATGTGAAACGGGTCTTTTTTTTGGAATAAAAGTCCAAATAGGTTGGTTTTGAAAATTTGTCCTTTCATTATGGGGTGTATTTCAAATTTGATTTTTAACTTGATTTTTGCATATGTACAGACTTATTATGCTTGATTGTTTTCAATTACGAAGTTTGCTATGTAAGTAGTAATTCACGGAAATCAAAATTTATGTTGCATGATTAAAATTTAATAAGAAAATTTCGTAAAATTTGTGTGACACGGTAGAAAACTGATGCATGCCTTAATGCAAGACCAAGGTACTAATATTATTAACAAATGATTTAGATGGAGTAGGGAAGGGGCTAACTAAAAAAGAATAACTTGTAATCGCTGTCAATGGGACCAAGCTAATTTTTCGTGTGTTCGTCTCTTTTAGATGCTTGTAGCTGGATGTCCCAATCAACAAATTCAACATCAAACTACAAGAGACACGGTCTAGTAAGTTCCATCGTAATAAAAATTTAAACTTTTATACCTAATATGATCTTGAGATGCAAAATCAGAGGGAAGACACGATAATTCACAGTCACTCCAGCGGAAAGAAGCCTATTTCAAAAACCCTAGAAACATCCCCAGTAAAAATGAAGAAAAATCTAAACTTTTGGCGGATTTCCAGAAGAATTGGGAACCTGAGTCGCCTGAACGAGTTCATCGAGCCTCCCCGGCTGCCCATGCCGGTGACGGTGATCCTTCTTCTCCTTAGAATCGCCCTTGTGAGCCAGACCCCTCAGCTTCCTCAATGGCGATTTCATCTCCAACCCCTAAAATCCCCAAATCCGCAAATTGAATCACAACTACGAATCAAGAGAGAGAGAGAGAGAGAAGGGCAGACGCTAGGCTGAGAATTGAGACCAGAGATTAGGAGAAGAGGATGAGCAAATCGATGTCTCTTTCTCTCTCTCTTTGATTTGGGTTTAAATTTCTAATTTATTTTCCCCCGAGTTTTGACGAGTCCGGGGTCTTTGGTCAATGGGGGATATTTTTGATTTTTGAATGAGAGTAGCTTGTATCTTATTTATTGCTCCGACGAAAAAGGCGAGGCGGGAGAAATTAGAACGCGATGGAAAATAAAAAATTTATTCAGGAGTTTGAAGGGTAGCTAGCTTTCTCATTTGCTGAGCTGACATTTAAGAATTTTTCATGAGTACTATTACTTGTACGTCAGTTGGTCCAAGAGCTTTTTCTTTGCTATTTTTTTTTTTCTTTTTTTTTTGGGAGACAAACCATGGAGAATCTTTCAAAGATATCCTTGAATAAATTTTAAATATGTGTAATACTTAAATCTGTATTACATTAACAAGGGAAGGGGTGGCCCAGTCGGTCCCTCGTGGGGGGGCAAGTTGTCATGTAAGTAAAGGGGAAAAATAAAACAGACCTACTCTCACGAAATTCAAGAGGAGTGTTTCGGATAACAACCTACATCCCTCTTTACATCTGAGGATAACAATCCTACATCCATTCTTTACATTCAAGGAGAAAAAGATAAGTGTAGTCTTATAAAGACTGCAACATGAAATCTACCTAAAACTAACCATCTAACCTAACTCTCCATAATAAGTAACACCGACACCTAGCCCTAGCTAGACCTAAGTCCTCAATTCACCCACGCTTGAATACACCGTAAACTCTTAATTCATACCAGCTTGAGTATGCCATAGAACAAGTTTAAACTAAGAAAAATAAATAACAATTAAGCGCAATACAAAAAGATCTTACAACCTTTTTTATTTAGATTGTCCTCCGAAAAATTTAGTATGGAGATTTGGAAGGACGGCGATGATGATGAGAACCAAGGGAAGCACTCCTCGAAGGTTGACGATTGGATGATGAATAATGATATCAAGGATGCTTTCTGAGAAGCCTGAGCAAGATCATTTCACCAACTTAAAACCCTAGCTCTCTCTTCCTCATTGCACTTAAACATCAAACTTGAGTTCCGTTGATTCTTGTGGATTCGTGACAATGAGATGAACACTTCCATATGCTCGAAAATAATTTTCACTCTTGATTTTTTCTGAAATCAGTTATGATTAACTTGTCGTCTTGCTTTTTTTAATATTGAACTTGATTGTAAGTTCTTGTAACCTGTATAAAACATCTCAAATATATATTAGACCAATATGAAGGCTTGTTATTGTTAGAATAAAAGAGAAAAATAAGACAAAGAATTAAAACTTTCCTGATTGTGCGAAAATATGTTTTGAGTCGTGCGTCCCAAAACGCTAAACTTAAAGCAAGACTTGGTCCACTCTAATGCAGGGATCCCAAGGTCAAATTGCTTTTAGGAACATCACTTGAGTGTATTGGTGTACACCAACTAGGACCTCCACAAGTTCAAGCACTAAGCGACCTCCTTGGTCTATGTTTGGACAATGACATCCTCGGTCTGGCACAAAATTAGACTGACATGGGCATGATGTGGTGTTTGTGAATATGTCAAGATTGCAAGTGCATAATTAAGTTATTGTATTAAAAAATATCAAATCTCATAAGGAAGGTATTGTAGGAATTAATCAAAAGTGATTCTTAAGTTGTGTGTGCGACAATTAGAAGTGATAAATGTGTGATTGTGGAGAGATATGAGGAGAGTGGTTGTGACTATATACCAATAAAAATAAAACTAAAACGATAGGGGAGGAAGAAAGATGAAGAAAAATAAAGAATCAAATAAAGAAAAATTAAGAATAAAAAAATCAAGAAAGTAAAAGATGGATGATTTAATTAAAGATATGAGAAATCTAGAATTGAATCCACTAGTAAATTTTAATTATAAATTATGGATTATCCTCTTTTTATCATATTTTACTTTAGATTTATTTTAGTGATTGCTCTTGATTTGTTTTAGTTAGGTTTTTCTTTTATCCATTTTCATTCTTCTCAATTTCTTTTGGATCTTTTAGTTTTCTCTAAAAAAAAATTTATTTTTCTTAGAATTTAAAAAAATTATTAAAAAATTGTTTTGGTGTATGCAAGTTTGGATTAGGGATAGTACTGACCAGTTAATTCGTGTTGAACCATCTTTTGAGATAAACGAAATGTCTAATCAACCCGTTCTTAAAGATATATGTTACCCAACTAGGAATGCAATCACATCTTACATTAAGCTATATGATTTTAATGGAACAAATTTTGAACTTAGACCGTATTTTATAAACTTGCTTCCAAAATTCTTAGAAAATGAAACAGAAGATGCTTATATTTTTATCTCCGAGTTTGAGGAAGTTTGTCTTAATATTAAGATTAAAGAGCTATCCGAGGATGTGATTAAACTTAGATTTATTCATTTCGTCTTAAGGACAAAACTAAAAAATGACTATATAGCTTGCCCACAAATTCCATCTCAACTTGGGATGAGGTTGTCATAATTTTTCTGAAGAAATTTTTCCCTATCGACAAAATAGTTAAGCTAAGAAACAATATTCAGAACTTTAAGATAGTCTCGGGAGAGGTATTCTTGAAGTATTTTGATAGGTTTAAGGATCTTCTTATCTAATATCATCACCACGCTCTTGGAAAAGTAGCAATTATATCAAATCATCTATAAATGATTGGATTATTCTTCAAAAACTTCTTTAGAATTAACGTGTCAACGGGATTGTAGGCGTCTAAAAATGCATTTAGGTGTCCGTACACAGCTCGAGATGGAGAGAAGACAACGAATGTCATTATCCGAGTCTAAGAGGATTATCTGTCATCGACAAGTACATGAAACGAAACGACGAACCAAGTGGCATGCGCGTGTCAATCAGCTCGTGCACGTCAATCAGTTTGCGCGCATCGGTCAACACACGCGCGTCAATCAGTTCGCGCACGTCGGTCAACATGTGCGTGTCAATCAGTTCGTGCACGTCGGTCAACACACGCTCGTTAATCAATTCGCGTGTGTCAATCAGTTCGTGCACGTCGGTCAACACGCACGCGTCAATTAGTTCATACTCGTTAATCAACTTGCGCTTATCGGTCAGTTCCAAGTGCCGTAAAGAAGCTAACGAGCGCATGAAGCAAGTTAGCAAATCGTACAAGTAAACAAGACAGTCAAATACGCAAAACAGTGGAAAATACAAGTCCCGGAAAAGTCGGAAAACACCAAAGAACTCAATAAAAAACGGCATAACCCCCGCGCCCGGGCGTGGGTCCTCGCGGCCCAGGTCCGACCCGCTGCGACGCGGGTCGACCACGCGACCCCCCGCTCGCACGGGTCGGCCATGTCTGACCCGCGCCCACGTGGGTCGGACGCAGCAGACCCCGCGCCCCCCGCGCATACACCATCCCCTGCTCGCTGACATCAATCGCGAGCCAGTCCTTGGCTTCCCTCCTCATCCATCCTGTCCCGTCGCGGGCTCGATGCGTTCGAGAGACTGAGACCCGGCCTCGACCAGGTCCCACACCAGGCTCGTCGCCACTGTTCGCACAGAGGACCCTCAGTGGTCCCCCCCACACCGGCCCGCCTCGGGTCCTGGTCGAGCCATCCGGTAGCGGCGGGACTGGCCAGAGCTCGCCGTGCAGACGCGCTCCGCGCGCCCCAGCCGGCGCTCGGCGAACGGGCGGTCGTCCGCCGTGCCTTCGTCACGCGGGGTGTTTTGAGCATGTTTGACCCGAAAACACGTTTTTGGCTGTTTCGACGGGTTTTCACAAGATCTTCTCAGTTCCAGAGATTCCTAACTACCTAAATCCTATCTCTAAATATGGTTAATCAGTTATTAATGGAAGATAAGGAGGAATCCATCATTCTTATCCATATACCCATATCTGGAGTCCTATAAATACAAACCTAGGGCCTCCTTTCAGCGGGAGCAGTTTATTATCAAGACGAGGAGGTGCTGTCGAACTCCAGAGCTAAGAGTCATGAATTTCAGCGAGGGTTAGCGAGATCCCGGTGAACTCCAGCATAAAGAAGGAGCTATTCGAATGATCTGAAGTCCGTACGTCCGTTCTTTGAGATTAGGCTTTGTCTTAATCTCGAGAAAAGCTACTGATTTCGCTTGGTCGATTTCAGCGCTTCAATCAAATACTCCCTCAGTGAAGACGAAGCTCTGCCTAATTTTCCATCAACCGGATTCTGATCTAAGGCGGTCCACGGATATCAAAATTCCCAGCACAGGCAAAGATCCTGCACAAACAGAAGACTGATAAACGATCTCCATGTGTTTGTTTTGACGAGAGTTGTAATTTTTATTTTTATTGTGTAAAAGTCTTATAAAAAGACTATATTTTTTTCATTTTTATTATAACGACTGAAGTTGTAATGAATACCATAATGAATAAATTAACTTTCAATGCAAACAAACTGACAACCACAGTGGGAGCCAACGGTCTCGCTGCCGAGGCCGTCGTGTCGCAACCGATGATTAAGATCCCGGTTGAAGAAGTGGTCGAATATGAGTTCGACCAACAAAAGTACGAAGAATATCTCTCATCCTCCTCCTCCAGATCCTCCGCTTCTCGCAAGCGCAGAAAGATCAACCCCCACGTTGCTACGGTAGCTGCACCTTGCAACGTCTTTCCGACCTCCAACGAGTCCGGATCTGCAGATCTAAACTTCTCATCAATCAAAGAGTTGAGTACAGAGGGTGCACCTACTTTATCGAAAAAAGCTCACCAAAGGCAGCGCCAACACCTCGCGCGCCAATTCGCCAAGGCTTTGGAGCCCGTAGACGGTATCCGTTATGAAGCGGATCTAAAATTCAAGGAGCATCGAGCACCTCAACAGCGAGCAGATGTCCTCTCCTCCAATCCAACAGCGAGTGAATGGATCCAAGTCAAAAGGATCCGTTCAACACTTGAGGAGCGAATTCAGAAGCACCACGCGCTGCTTGCGCACGCATGAATTCTTTTGCAAAAGGCACAAATGATGCAAAAGAAGGACATAGCTAAGAAACAATTAAGGCTGCATCAAACTTAGAAATCAAAGTCCAAAACAGCGGTCGGAAAGATTGAAAAATGTGGGACACTCAGATCCGACCATCCTGCTTGCGGGTCACTCAGATCCGACCCTCCTGCTCGTGGGTCACCCAGATCCGACCCTCCAAGCCGTGGGTCACCCAGATCCGACCCTCCTGCTCATGGGTTACCTAG